AAGATAGTATGGAATATGGTGATTTCTATAGCATCATAGTTATTTTTATTCAGAGGTGAAATTGTGCAATAAATCCGATTACCAATTCAAGATCCGTCTACAGTCACATAACACCTGATAGTATTTATGTCATTCCCAATAGATTTACATCATCACTATGGATCATCTGGTTTCCGTGGTCTTTCCTAATGGCGTATTACAAACCCAAGTTCATAAGCGTAAACAAAAACATTTCCGTGTTTCAGGAAATTATGAATACGAAACGCATCACATAAATGTTTACCTAGGCCTATATGGATTTCATTATAGTATTCGCATAAAAACATTTTAGTAAGATTAACTAGTTTCATAAGTACCCCTAACTCAATAAGAATGTTGTACAATACTTCCTCCTAACTGAAACATAGGCTTTCTTGAAGTCAACGAATAGCTAATGTACTGTCTCATTGTACTCCAAATTTATTCCTCCAGTATCTGATGAATGGAAAAATCTTATCAGTGTTTGTCTTTCAGATATTCACTGGTTGGTTCCAGTAAAGTCCATTAGCATTGCGTCTTAACATCGTTCAGATTATCTCAATTTATTTGGCTCGGATAGCGTAAAAGTTCCAATTTGGCTTCTTTCCGGTCTGTTAGTTTTAACAGCCTTCGTCGAACCATGGCTTATACTGCATCAATTCGTAATAACTTAGATTCTCCTGGCTGAAATTGTCATATTCTCGCTAATAGTTTCCCAACTTGCGAATCTCTTTCAGATTCTAACCTCACAGTGTTACTTACGTCATACCTCGTTTAGCTTATTGCGATTTTACGTCTCCGCATGAAACTATTCCTTGCTCGATTACTTACTGCCAGTCTCTCCCTAACTTCTGCAACAACGACACATTGATCAGGTACCACACTCAGGTCCTCTGAAAGGCCGCACGTCAACTAAACTTGAATTCCGTTTATCTACAAAACTGTGGTAAATCTAACTGTGTGTCTTTTCATCCAGTATTATTACAAGGAGCCTTGCGAAGCGGTGGAACGCTATATAGACTTCGCGAAGAGTGTCGACGACAAGAAAAAGGTTGCCATGAAAGCAGGAACCGAGGAATATATCGGTGAGTAGATTGCACAGCTCTGCACTGCTAATGAACTTTAAAATCACACATTCCATTATCTTAAAATTAAGTAAATTCGGACAGCAGAGCGAAATTATTTCAGCTTATCAAGATATCCGTGTTAGCATTACAGTTTGGGGGAAATGCCACGAGGATTAGTTATAAGAATGTAACTGATTTAAAGGTATACTGAATCAGTATCCTTTTCCAAATCGTCATACATATTTCCATAACTGCTTACTGTGAGATTTTAGATTTTCTTCCACCGATTTTTGCCAATGAAATATCTCTGAGCCTATATGGTTGTTTCAACTAATTTGCTGTAAANAAATCACTGCATAATCCCAAGATGAATATCTCTTGTAACATCTTTAGAAAAATATTTATAGATGAGCAGGATTTGTAGACGTAAAGTCAAAAATTTGAAGCCGTTGGCACGATAATTATGTTGATTTAAATAGAGGAAAGAAGCGGTGGAACGAATCAAACCCCCTTTCAGTTTTGTGTAGTAGTGACAATTAGGGGAAAGTGAACCATACGAGTAAATTCCAACCGATATAAGGGGTATTTAAGATATCTAATCAGTTCTCTAAAAACCCGAAGTAATGTCCGATAATAACAACTTCGACATCAGGAGCCAATCAATGATTGTCAATAAACAAGTTACGGCCACCAAGTACAGTAATTTCTACCCATATATATTCACGAAAATATTCAAGTTCCGATCTAAGTTTGGCGCCCGAAACTGCTTCAGAAACAGCAACTGAAGCTCCTCCGGCACGTGATTCAGTTCGAAACCCTCGATGAATACGATATACAGTATGAATTTCGGGGAAAAGTTTTTGGTTGGAAGAGGATTCAATTAGCCATGTTTTCGTTAACCTTAAAATTTTAAAATTGAGAGAGCATACATTGTTAAAAATTGTAGTAGACTTTTGTTAATAATAATAATAATAATAATAATAATACGAAGGAAAGTACGAAAATACTCATAACGAAGTTAGAGAAGGTAGCAAAGAAGTAGACAAGAAGACAATGAGAGGCAGGGAAAAAGGAAGACGAAATAATGATAAAAATTTAGTTTTCTTTTCTCTATGTCTGAATGCCATAGAATTCATAACTTCAGAAAAACTGCTTCCTTTCTCTTTAGTTTGTTAAAAAAAAGTGAAGGTCATGAAGACATATGGGGGAGTGGAGACACAGCTCCGATATTCTTTAGACCTTCAGCTTTACGCCCCGGCCGCAAACACCTGCGGAAATCACCTGCCGTAAAAATTGAATAGGAGGTTGGGAGGGCCCAAGAACCGGTTGAACGCTGTGGGAAATAGAAACTCTTGTCCTCTTGACTTGGGTATGGAAGGGTTGACAACGGGGTACATTTTGTATGATATTATCCACAGGATGAGGGTTCAGCTCGAATCAAAGAATCCATTTAAACAGAATAACAGAGGAAGGTAGTGATACCTGCATATAAAAAAAAGTTCATTCTCTAACAAGGACTTTGGTCTCTTACAGAACTTCCAATAACCAAGAACACAGTTTATGTGATGCGTCCCACAATCTATCCAGTGCGGTACAAAGAACAAAGTTTCAGCAATATCGGCTACAACTCTAGTGGGCGAAAAAGCAGGATTCCTGTGAAGTCAGCCGCAACCGTTCTGCAGTCCAAGGTGAAAAGTTCCGGCAATATCACCCACAACCCTAGTGAAGGAAAGAGCAGGATTCCTGTGAAGTCAGCCGCAACCGTTCTGCAGTCCAAGGTGAAAAGTTCCGGCAATATCACCCACAACCCTAGTGAAGGAAAGAGCAGGATTCCTGTGAAGTCAGCCGCAACCGTTCTGCAGTCCAAGGTGAAAAGTTCCGGCAATATCACCCACAACCCTAGTGAAGGAAAGAGCAGGATTCCTGTGAAGTCAGCCGCAACCGTTCTGCAGTCCAAGGTGAAAAGTTCCGGCAATATCACCCACAACCCTAGTGAAGGAAAGAGAAGGACTCCTGTGAAGTCAGCCCCAACCGTTGTGCAGTCCAAGGTGAAGAGCTTCAGCAATATCAGCCACAAACCTAGTGGGGGAAAGGTTAAGATAGTACACCGGAAGCTCGACTACAGTAATGTGAAGGCCAAGGTCAACACAGGGAGCATCACGAAATAAGGGGGTGACTGGAGCGGTGACATGTAACACGGTCCAAATAC